ATCTTAACTCTTTAATTTTTTTGTTTGTGTGTTCTTGAGAAATTTTTTGAATTCCTTGATCATGTTTATGATTGTTCTTTTAAATTCAGTGTCCTGAGTTATCTCTAGGGGGTTCTGCTTGTAGAACTCTTCTACAGGATTGGTGGAGTTTGGTGGGGACATAGTGTTTTGGCTTTCCTTTTTATTATTCTTTTGTTGTGATTTTGGCATGGAATTTCTTTGGTTTATGATTCTGATATGAGAATTAAGTTGAAGTATGCTTCTGTTTGCATTATCGGGGTGCCTAGATCCTTTCTTTATTGGTTATGTAAAGCTGGTTGGTACAGGGTTCGGGTTCTCTCAGGTTTACTTTGGAGGGAACTGATGGCTTCAGATCAGCTCTTCAGGAGTACCACAGAAGCCCAATTCAGGTTCCAGTCAGGTACACTCAGGCTTCCTTCACCATGTGGAGGCAGGATTTGGGTGCTGTCAGGCAATCCTCAGCATTCTCAGCCCCTATGCCAGATGGAGGCCAGAGGGAGGCCAGAACTTGGCACTCTCTGGCGGGAAATCTGCTGAGATCAGAACCACTGCACTGATGGAGGTTGGAACCCACCCTCTCAGGCTGTCTGCTAGGATCTCAGCCTTAGCCTATGAGAGCCAGATCGGCCCTGGGGCCTTGAGAGGGGCTTCAGGAAATCCCAGGTATGGGGATGGGTATAGTGCAATTAGGGGAGGCTCACCACCGCGTGGAGGCAGGATCCATGGGCTCTCAGGCAGTCAGTTCCCTGTGTTCTCATTCCCTCTGCCAGAGGGAGGCCAGAGGGAGGCCCGAACTCTGCACTCTCTGGGTGTCTGCTGACATCAGAGCCACTACACTGAATATATATATGAATATATATTCCTTAAATTCGTTGAATTCCTTCTCAAATTCATGACCTCTTCTTTAATGAATATATATATATGAATATATATATATATATATATGTGCATTTAATATAACTTATTCAAACCTTATAACATATAAAAGCCTGTGGGTTTTTCTTTTTCTTTTGGAAACATCTAACCATCTTAATTTTTATATATAAATTTTTACCAAATATAACTTTCATTTTTACTATTTTTAAGTTTTTTCTTATTCATAGGTTATCTTAATATCATGAGACATTTATTAACAAAAATTTACTATATGTTGTGAGAACTTCCTTGATTGGGGAGTTAGGTAGTGTTTTCCCATTTCTTGTACTTTTTTTTAAAATGGCAAACCAATGTTTCTCAAAGTGAACAGTAAATCAATTGTGCCAATTGAGTTAAAGTCAAAAAGTTTTGGAGTAGCTAAGAATAATACATAATGGGAATTTGACTAATATAAGCTGGATCAGTAACATCTGAGGAAATTAAACTGTCTTATAGTCCAATTTTAATTAAGACTAAACCAACACATTTTGTTATAGGAGTTTTAATGAGTTCGTGAGTATCCTTTATAATTTTTATTGCATTTATTTTTGATGCTTTAATTTATAATATTCTCAGTAGTGATAAGCAAATAATTCTCTGTATTCTAGGGCTAAGGAGAGAGATGACTTGTCTCATCACCTATAGGTGACTCCATATTTCCTGTAGCCTAAGGGACTGAGACTTTTGTGAGGGGTTCCCACCCACGTATATTGTTAGTGGAAAATAGCATACATATCTTTATATCATGAAATAAGTAATAGTAAATTTTTTGGAAATATTTTATCCCCTAGCTGTTTTCAAGGGCATAAGGCCTTTATTATGACTGTTTTATTTTCTTACTCTTGGTCACTGATTGGGGTGGGGGTGTCAACATGACTCTGAAGTTTTTGGAGGACATTTTGAGATGAACATGCTTGAATCTGAGCTGAGAGGATCAAATCCCATCTCCAGAGCCAGCGTCTCAGTGAGTTTAAACAACACATAATAATTTACCAATATACAAAAAAGTCATTTGTTTCTCTGTGAAATGGAACCAAGTGGTTTGTACTGGTTTCTGTCTTCCTTATTACCTATACGGACACTTTTAGCTGAGTCTTACAACGTGTTGGATTTTGTATCGGGAACAGGAAATGACAAAGTCAGAACACTTATTTTGGAAGGGTTATATTTAATATCTCTAAATTTTATAAGATATATGAATATATGGCAATTATCACTTATAAGGAGAATCAAGCCAACAAAAGTATCTGCCTTTACCATTGCCTAACTTGAATTTCTCCCCATCTATGTTTGAGGTGATCAGATGTTTGAAAAGCTTACATCCATAATTAGTTAGCTTGTATCTGTAAACGGAGCCAGACAATCTGAAAAGCTTATCTTTTATCCTACATTGATATTTTTCATTAGAGACCATTTTTAATTTTTTGTTTTAGTTGTAGACCAGGCTTTATTGAAGAAAATCACTAGACACTCCCCCTTTTTAAAAATGTGGGCTTGTTCTTGGCAAAACCTTGATCAATTAGACTTCTAAATTAGATATGCTCTTCCATACAGGATAGCTTTTACCATCATATGCTAATCCCCAAATGGAAGCAGATGCCTGGCCATATTTTCCATTATAACATGCTATCATGGAAAGCCTTAGGGGCCTTAATGTCATCTCCCAAAGGCATTCCTTATCAAGCAGAAGTTTATCTTGATCATTACAGTGAAAGGGCCAGTTTAGGTGTGGGGATGGAATAGGTATAAGCTTCTCTTTACTCTCCCACAAAGGTTCCCAAACATGTTTAATTAAAATCTCCACATAGAAAAAGCAAACCAGAAAGAGAAGTCCCAGATTGATGTGCCCCTTTCAGACTTTTCCCTACTTGGTCCCAGCATTCTAGGTCTATGGTACCTTCTTCTGGGGACCAAAGATTATGTTTAACTACAGCTTTTAACAATTCCTCTAATTTAGATTCTGACACCTGAGATTCTGACTGCTTGAGTATGCTTTTTAAGCAATTGAATATAATGTTTAGTTTCTTGAGACTGATTCTTCCCCCATTGTTATCCAGGTTTACACAAAACCTAAAAGAACTACTTGCGTCCTCATAGCCACGACTCCACCTAGCACAGAGGCTGCTGACTCCTTTGTAGTTTGTTTCTCCATTTCACTTTCTCTGTTCTAGCAGAGCTGTTGTTCAATTCCTTGCTTTGGGCATCACTCTGCTGTGTCCAGCATGGCGGCAAGAGCTCTGAGAACCCTTGAAGAGGGACAGTGCAGCACAGAGAAAAAGACACAATACTTAATTCGAATCTCAGGAGTGGGGAACTAGGAAGCCCTCTGCTGAGAGAACAGAGGCCCTGAGCTCCTCCTGTTCCACTGTGTAGCTGTTACTTTTTTATTGCATAGGCAGGAAAAGCCATGTGACTTTTACACAGTGCAGTCAGTCTTGAGAAAGCTTTCTCAAGGCTTCTAAGTATGTTACTTTGAAGCAACGGATCTGTTTATTGCAATGAAAGCTAGCTAAGCATAACAGAGCCTGTGGTCAATGGTCACAGTGCTATTTCCTTGTATAATTTGGGATGGGGGCACTGCATTCTTTTGTCTGCCTTGACACACATGCCTGTGCAGCTTTTGTCACATAATCATTCTTTTTTATTATTATTGTTTTTATTTTATGTGTATGAGTGTATTGTCTGCATGGATGTAAATGCACCTGTGTTGTGCAATGCCTGCAGAAGTCAGAAGGCACCAGATCCCCCTGGAATTGGAGTTATAGATGGTTAGCTGCCAGGTAGGCTCTGGGAACCGAACCAGGGTTCTCTGAAAGAGCAGCCAGTGCTCTTAACCTCTGAAACACCTTTCCTCTGGTCTCCTCCTGACTATTCTGGTCTTTTCGAGACAGGGTCTCCTTGTAGCCCCAGCTGATCTGCTTGGATTTCACAGATATCCACCTGCCTCTGCCTCCCAAGTGCTGGGATTAAAGGTGTGTGTACCGTGCCAGACTGGCATAGTCATTCTTGGCTGAAGGGACTGTTGTACATGGTCAGACATGCTTTCAGCAGAGTTTAGGTAAAGCAGTGTCTCCAACATTAGGTCAAATAAATCAGTGGTATCCACCAAGCTTGGGTTATGGGAAGACCTCATACCACATCTTACCACTTTCCTGCTTCATGATCACCCCTGAAGCAGCTGCCTGAGCTCTGGCCCCTAGAATCTGTCCTCTTCCTTCCTTCTCACTTTTCTCCTTCTGCCCTTTCTCCTCCCCTCTCCTCCTCCCTCTCTACAGTTTCCCTCCTCCCTCCCCCCTTTCTTTTAAGTTTATGAGATAGGGTCTTGCTATGACCTCTGGCTGGCCTGGAACTCACTATGCAGACCAGGCTGTCCTCAGACTTAAGGCAATCACCCTGCCTCTGCCTCTGGATTGCTGAGATTGCAGGCATGTCCCACTATGCACATTTTGTTTTGTTTTGTTTTGTTTTGTTTTGGTGCTAGGGATCAAACCTAGGACTTCCTGAATGAATGCTAGGCCAGCACTCTATCAGCTGAGCTGCATCCCCAGCCCCAAACACTCCTCCTTTCAAGTCTTACTTTTTAGAAGCTGAGGACTGAACTCTAAAGCTGAGTGTACAGCTTCCATTTACCACTGTCTTTTCCTATCAAGATATGGCTTAGTGGATGAGCAAAAAGTACATTGGATAAGATTCACCAAATTAGTACACCACACAGCCAATGATGGCAGTGTCGCCAACTTGCAAAGTTACGTAGGGAGTGGGTTTCTATTCTCAGACCATCTCGTGTTTGCCCCTTAAACTTTTTGGCTTAGATGAAGCCAACAGTCATTTTTAAATGCATAGTGATATTAGAGACAACATTGCTAAATGTCAGGTTTTCATGTTTGGATACTTTAATAGTACATTACATTCCTGGAAGTTTCCAGCTAACTCTTAAGAACAAACTAAAACAATGATGTAAAATACACTAGACTCGAGGCTGACAGTATTTGAGGCATTAACCCCTCAGGGAAATATGGCAATGTAGGCATTTGTCTCTGAGTTTTAAAGTATTCCTGATACTGCCAACATGGATACCCTGGGAGGTCACTCTCCACAGGCTCTGTCCTAGTGGTGTAGGGGACCATCACATTCTGCCCCATGATGTACAGTCCCTTTCCACAATGTTGGAGATGAAGCTGGGCTTCAAGGCTGCACCTGCCTATCCCTACAATGTCCCAGAGTCCCAGACAAGGAATGGGGAGGCAAACCATGTAAGAAACAAGTTTAAAAAAAAAAAAAAAGCATTCTGGATACTGGGACCAGAGAGATGGCTGAGTGGTTAAGAGCACTTACTACTCTTGCAGAGGACCCAAGTTCACTTTCCAGCATCCACATCAGGCAGCTCACAACCCCTGTAACTTTAGCTCCAGAGGATTCAACACCCTCTTCTGGCCTCCATGTACAACTGAACTCATGTGCACATACCCACACACAGCCACACGTGCATGTAGATAATTAAAAATAAAAATTTAAAAACATTCCAGTAATTGTAAAAAGTTAAGTTTTAAACTGTAGTACCTGTGGAGGCCACAAGCCAGGTTCAAGTGCAAATTCACAGTATCTCTCACTGGTCTGGAGTCAGTGAGGCCCCCAGAGGTGCCTAGGGCCATGCATGACAGTGTCTATACCACCTCTTCCCAAGACAGCCCCTGTGTAGCTCATCTTGGAAAGATATTTTGTTTCTATCTTCCTTGTATGTGTGGGAGAAGAAGGAAAGAACAACCCCAAGTTAGATGGGTGTATGCAAGACCATAATCCCAAGACTATGGAGGGTGAGACAGAAGGATTACTATGTGAGGCCATCCTGGGTTACATAATAATACCTAGGACAGCACTTTCCAACACATAAAAACCCTGTATCAAAAACAAAACAAAATAAAAAATAAATACCAGGTGTGGTGGCACACACCTTTAATCCCAGTACTCGGGAGAGAGGCAGGCAGATCTCTGTGAGTTCAAGGCCAACCTGGTCTACATAGTGAGTTCCAGGACAGCTGAAGCTACAGGGAGACATTGTCTCCAAAAGACCAAAGAATTAAAAAACAAAAGTAATAAAAATTAAAAAATAAATAAAAAACTCTTGGCAGTCAGAGGCAGGGGATCTTTGAGAAGGGTGCCAGCCTGGTCTGCATAGTGAGTTCCAGGGCAGCTATGACTACATTGTGAGAGGCTGTCTCAAATAAACAAAGAAACAAAACCCCCCAAAATAAGGAGCTGGATTGTCCCCCTCCAGGCATGAATTGAGGCAGTAGCTTCAGCAAAACCAGGACATGGAACACAGTTGTAGAGCCACCACAAAGGGGCAGCACAGGGGGATAGTTTCTGATTGATGCAAGGCCAGTAGCCTCCATCCCCTCCTGAACTGGCACAAATGGTGGAGGGGGGCCTCCTTGCTCTGGAATCCCTTTTTCTTCTCTGCCTTCCATAGGACCAGAAAGGTACTCTCCCCCACTGCTATGCATGCTGGGTGTGCCCTGTGCTCAGTCCTGTTCCAGCCATGAACCACAGAGTAACCAGAGGCCCTCTTTACTTCTCACCACACGGGGATTCTGATTCACGAGAAATACAAGGTTTTTTTTTGTTTTTGTTTTTTGTTTTCCAGAGCTGAGGACCAAACCCAGGGCCTTGTGCTTACTAGGCAACTGTTCTACCACTGAGCTAATGCCTGTGTGTAGGCCATTGTACCCATGTCGTGCAATGCCCACGGAGGACAGAAGAAGCTGTCCGGTCCCGTGGAACTGGAGTTATGGACACTTGTTAGCTTCCATGTGGGTGCTGGGATTCAAACCCAGGTCTTCAAGAACAACCAGTGTTCTTAATTGCTGAGCCATCTCTCCAGCCTGAAATACAAGGTTTTTCTGAGTTGCATGCTTTCTCGAATTTTAACATTAAGGCTTTTGGTGGATGATTGTGTTTAATGAAGAGTATCCTATATCACAGTCTAGCCTTGAATGCCTATCCTTTTGTGTTCACCACCCAGTGTGGGGATGACAGGCACAGACCACACTTCCAATTGTGTTCCATGCTGGGGAAATGCCAAAGGAGTGACCTGGGTATGCTATGCACAACTGAGCTCTGGCCCTAGTCCTGCTGTTTCTTGTTTTTTGTTTGGTAGAGTGAGATGCTCAAGCTAGACTGGAACTCACGATGTAGCTCAGGCTGGTTTTGCTCTTGTGACTATCCTCCTGCCTAAGGGTTTTGAGTCCTGGGATGACAGGCATGTACCACTACTCAGACTCTGGCATCTACTGTAAAGAAAACTCCAAGAACTCCCTAGAACTAGCTAACTCTGAGAGGTGGGAGCCTGCCCAAAGGGTGAACTGAGGAAACGCTCAAACAGTAGGTGAGGCTCAGACTGTCTGGATCCCATCAGCTCCCTAGTGTGAGCTGTTCTTGTGTCTTTTGTTCTTTTTTTCACACTGTTGCACAGAGGTCAGACAAAGCTGACTTGAGGACTGCATGCTGGAACATCCTTTCATCCTGGCTGCACAGGTGAAAGTCCCGGGAACCACTGTCTAGAGACTGATGTTCCTGGAGATAGGGTGGAGCGGGAGGCACAGTGTCCTTTTTCCATTGCTCCAACCCTGCTCACTGCCGGTGGGTGGTGGCACACACCTTTAATTCCAGCACTTGGGAGGCAGAGACAGGTGGATCTGAGTTCAAGGCCAGCCTGGTCTACATAGTGAGTTCCAGGACAGCTGGGGCTACAGGGAGACCCTGTCTCAAAAAGATTAAAAACAAAAAAAAAAACAAAAAAAACATGGTGAGTGGTGTTGACCTCTAAATCAGGACCAGAGAGAACAGAAGCAAGAGGTTCAGGAATTCAACATCTACCACTGCTGCGTGCTAAGTCCCACTGTAGACTGAGTGGTATGAAATCCAGTGTTAAAAAGTAAAAATCATACGGCTACACATATAACTCAGTCGGGAGAATTCTCGTCCAGCATGCAGGAATCCCTGTGTGTGAGTCCCAGCATCGCGTCAAAAAGGCTTAGTGGATGCCAACTGTGGGAAGTGGAGACAGACCAGGTCATCCTCAGCCACATGGAGAGTTTAAAAAAACATTCTAAGCCTGGGTACCTAGCTGCATTCCCTGCATTCAGTAGCTGAGGCCATAGGATGAACAGTTCCAGGTCAGTCTGTAGTATATAAAGAAAACCTGTTTAAAAACAGGAGGCAAATGGGCACCTTGTAGTGAGAGCAGACAATTAGAGCATCCCTAGGAGTATAAGAGTCACGTGCTTTGGCCAAAACCAAACAGAACTGGAGGTGAGCATGAAATTTAGAGAAAATCAGTAGTGAGGAGTAAAGTGTTAGAAGGGGCCAGGTTGGCAAAATATAGATATTGTGTGGATAATTGTGTGTGTGTGTGTCTGTGTGATATATAGAGAGTGACAGAAAGAGAGAGAGAGAGAGAGAGAGGAGACTCACCTTTTAGCATCTCTATATTCCAGTGAATTGAGGGCAGGGGAACAACATATTCTTTTTCATCAAGGGAACTCAATGTCAGTCTGATTCTTTGACACAGACTGACCCAATTCCCTTCAGAAGAGTCATAAGATCAACCTGAGTAGGTCAACCTGTCCAAGGGGCTGTAGCCCAGCAAGGATACTCAGGAGGACATTCACGTAGTTGTTGAGGACAAGCTGGGGAATCAGTCATTTTCTTATCAGATTTTGAAGTAAAATGTCTGTTCTATGAACTGAACCACTTTCAGAGGACAGGCCTAGATAAAGTACCTGGACATGTTCTCAAAGTGGTAAAATGACACTTAGATATACTGTTGAACACAGAAAATGTCCTGATAGATGAAAAAGCCAAAACTCTTGTTCCCACAAGTTCAAAATAGAAAGAAAGGTGAACAGGGAGATGATCCATGTCTATCACACGGACATCTGTGTGTTTCAGGCTGTGACATAGCTTGCTATAATCTAGGGAAAATGAACACAACATTGAATCTTACCAACATAATTGTTGGATGGACAGGGAAGCCTTTATCATACCTAAAGGATGTCCAAGGATTGCTTACCTGTGGATACTCAGTGACCTATGCAGGCTTTGGAAACTGAAAGAGACTTTGTGGTTTCATAGAGCTGAGTGGAGACTCTGAGTAGATACCTGCCAGGCTGGGCTCGAGGCAGGCCCAGAGCAGGCGCTCCCTCCTCAGAAGTGTCTCTAATTTGATGTTGATATGGAAACACACCACTCCTAATCATGTGGTATGTGATCATTCTCAAGGTATCAGGATCTCAGTGTGCATATGGAGGGTGAATGGACTGGATGGAGCAAACCTGGAGGAGGAGGAACATGTCTAGTTACAGAGTGGAACTGGTAGAGAGAGGAGACACAGCTCTCCTTGAGGACACTGCCCAGCTAAGATTTTCTGAAGCTTTCTTCTCTGTGGGGTCTGAGGTCTGTTTTGTAAGCAGCCATGCATCTTTCCCAGTCTTTGAAGTGAAGGAGGACACTATCCTTCAGAGGACTCCCACAGGGCTGCTTGGAGACTGTAACCTCAAAGTCGGGAACCACCCTGTGGCAAGGCATGTGGATGTGGCTGACCAGGAGTTACCTCCCTGAGGACAACCATTGTACCTGAGGAAGACCGGATTCCTCAATAAAAAACATGAAGGGAAGGACAGCCATGACTCCACAGACAGACTCTGATGTTGAGCCAGGAGTGAGAACAGGAACTTCTCATCCCAGGGCAGCTCAGGGCCTTCCCCTGATTGAAGTCCTTCTGAAAGCCAGAATCTCCTGCCTGGAATTTTACCTGTATAGGTGTGCAGTGGTGTGTCCCATGCTTCCTGTACAGGTCAAAGGCCTTGTGCCTGGCCTGTGGCTACCCAGCCGCTTGGACATCCAGCCTGGCTTCCTCATGCAGCTCTTCAGTTCTCAGCCAGGCCAACCCCATCGATGGCTCAGGAGCCATGAAACTGGGGATTTTCCCCTTCAGCACTTCAAAGCAGAAAGACATAGGAAGGGGGCTCTCAGTAATTCAATACAGAGCATGGCCTGCTGCCCCATAACTCCCCAAGTGATTCTCCAAGCAATCTTGGCTCCCTTTGGCAAATCAGTCCTCCATCCCTGCATGCCTCTGGACAACATTCTCTACTATCTACTGCTAGGAAAAAATCCTGAGGTTCCACTTGGAGGAACTCTGTGGGATTGGTCATCCTGAGGTGACAGATGTGCTAAGTGACACTCCAAGTAAGTACAATGATCAT